CAGAAATAACATGTGACGGTAAAGTCGTGAAGGGTATGCCCGGTACATGCTGGGAAGGAGGCCATTTTCCCATCTGCACTTAGCGTTTCAAACATTGGAACAGCTAGGAGAAGATGATGTCTGAAATGTTGTCGAAGATGAGTCCAAAATTTTTGACGCAGATTTCTCTGTGGTCAAAGCCGACAACGTCTTGGTAGAAGATTCCGAATCTGTAGCATCGCACCGACTGCCATGCTTGAGTCCATTTTCGAAGGCACAGGTCGATGTAGATCCTTGGTAATTGAAGAATTTCACCAGGCCAGAGTCTTCCACTTCAATCCATGCAGCTGACGAATGCTCTTCTGCGCCACAAGCCTCTACCCCGTGAACGGGGTAGCGATTAGTGCCGTTTGTGACTTCCTCCGCTGCCCGTGCGTTAGTCTCTCGTCCTTAACTCTCCTGATAAGAATCCACTTACTTGAACATGTCTCTCCCTTGAGTCGGCCAAAATATGCTGAAGACCCTGTGCAGCCATGGTTGTCATATGACCATATCGCGCATTGACCATCAATATCAATGATCTCTAGAGTGCCACCGAGCGAGCCGCTTGCATAGGCACTAGCGAGAATCATGATGACGGAGAACCGCATCTTGTTTATCTTCAGGCGAGGTGAATAGGCTTGAAATCTGAAGATGTCTTGTGTGCTACGGCCAGTCCTGTGTTGTGTAGTCAAGTATCTGGGGAAAGGCGGTAGAGACTTTTATAGACTTACCTTGAGAGATCTAGGGGCTGCATGTTGTCTGTGGCAAATTATGAAAACGCTGTCTGTTTTCTGAACAAAGATGAGGCGCATTCAACATCATGACCTTAGTACGTTGCATATATTGAGTCCGACTACGAGCAACAGAGTTCAGGGTCAAGAAACGAGTTCCTGGAACTTATCAAACGTCAACAGCAGCGTGACCAACTATTTGATGACGATGGTTTTCATTCTGCATTTGGTTGAAAACCGCAAAAATAGACTATGAGAGACTTCGTAAGCGGAACTTTGAATGTACCCGAGCCGTCCTACAATTTCCCGATTAAACACTAAAGCGTAGGCTGGTAGATTTCGACGCTACATTTTTCATATTATAGCCTTGATGAACTAAAGGGCCCTTCAAGCCCCAAATTTACAACGAGATTCCGTTCCCAGCAAAAGATGTGCCTCTGGTTTCATGCGCGTAAATCCAACTTGAAATGCTTCTTTGCTCCGCATATTGAAACCTTACCCGTCCCAGGAGCCGTCAACCGAATACAAGCAATGTTGGCTATACGAATGCATGGCTTACAACAGGCCTCAACTAGGCACCGGTGTCTTTTATTTCCTGCTCGGCATCAAAGTTGATTGTTGAGTAATGATCCAAAAATATAAATACCTCGACTCCCTGCGTCTTTGCTTTCCACGATAGCTATCCAACCACTTTGGAGTCGATTATTCCTCACGCTCGGAGTGACCTGATATCTCTTTCTCTTCATCCAAGGGCACTTTGACAAATATATGAGAATTTTCCATTGAGTTCTGAACAATTCCGTTTAAAGTCTCTTTTACATTCTTTCGAGCTCTACTCCTCACGCTCAATTGCCTCATTGAGAATGAAAGCCAGTCATAGCTATTTCGACACTGAATCCGAGTTTGACCGCCTGAAACTCGTCGTGGAGATTGCTCTTCAGGACGATCTAGTGGCATTTGTGGAAGAAGCTCATTCGTCGCTTCAGTCGCGAGGATGTTTCAAGAAACGGGATCGCTTCAAGAGGTCTCTCCTACATTATGCTGCCATGGGAAATTGCACAAATCTCCTTCTCTATCTCCTAAAGAGGAAGCCCAATGTGGATTCCCGTGACCAGTGGGGGCGCACTCCCCTCTCCTGGGCTGCCCAGTACGGCTCATTGACTGTTGCAAAACTCCTCCTAGCGCAAGGAGCAAATATCAATGCCTCAGATTATGAGAGTGGCACGCCATTGACCTGGCTGTTACACGGCGGAGACCCTGATGTGACAAGCCTAGCGGCGACCGAAGCTTATCTCAGAGAGATGGGCGCGACGGAAATGAAATTGAGAGGTATCAAGCTGGCCTGGATTTGGGTTTTGACTTATACGCGCTTACTCCGATACATTCGCCCTCATATCTAAGAATCTCGACAAAGTGGAGCTGGTCTGGTGCGAGAATAGTACGGACATCAGATGGTGGGCATACGGAGGCAGTACTATGCACTGTGGTGCGAGATTAGGCCAAATGTCTTAACACCGATACTCGTTGCTCTTTCTATGCTGCTCAATTTGTGTCGTTGGAATGGAAATAAGAAACAAACAAGTGAATTTTCAAACATAAATATCATAAGAACTTTGGTTAGAGGAGACATTTATCTTGCTTGGCCGTGTAGCATCGTAGACAAGGTATTTGTACGTTTTCCCTTTCCGTGCACTACTAGACTGGTGCATTGGACCCAAGTGTATTGCAAGTATTTTATGATTCTTTTAATTGGCCAGAGTTTTGAGCGTATGGACTACGTCTTAGTACTGGGTCTTGTCAATTGTGTTGTGATATGAGGCTGGTGCAGATCAGGAAGCAAGCCGCACTATCCAATTAGCTCCGAGATATCTATACAGACAACCAGGTTGATTCCTAATCAGATTGGCTCCTACTTGTATATATAATCACATATTTTCCGTCACAATCAGGAACCAGGTATATACCTCTGAACTACAATAGAGCGCCTTGTCTCACGATGATTCTTTCCTGGCAAAGGCTAGTCTAGCAATACATAAGAAATAGAGGGTTGCTGTTGATGCAATGGCCACACCACATGAAATGGAAACGATACAGGAGTGAAAAGACAAATCATGGAATACTAAATGTTTGCTCGCCTAGTTCGTCGGACTTGCGGAAAATGAAGACCTAAAACTAATCTGTATTCTGACCGTCCTATAAGTCGATCATTTTGGCAGTCTCAACCATTTTCCCTTTGGCCTATTGTACTTCTCCATTAAGCTTGATGTTCGGGAATTTAACTAAGAAGGTAGCTACAGTAGAACTTGACCGCATCAACAAAGGTTATGATTGATTGGAGACCGATAAGGAATGATTGGATTGCAGATTCGCCGTCTTCTAAAACAGACAATTTGAGCACTGTGAACAATACAAGGAGTCGGGAGATCCCTTCAGCCAGGTCACAGATCAAACAGCCTCCTCACAACCAAGAAAGGTAATACAACAGTGTCTAGGAAAACATTCTCGTAGTCTTTCTCTTGATCAAAGCTCGTGTAGCTCCCTTCTTCGTGGCACCATGCTTCGTCAGATAATTTATCATGGCTGATCGGTTAGGGCCCTGACCCGCACGTATCAGCCATGTCAAGGGTGTTGTGTACATATCATCCATGGAATTGATGTCCGCTCCGTTTTCGAGCAAGATCTTCATAGCATCCCATGCTCCATATTCTACAGCCCAGGAGAGAGGCGTACGTTTGTTCTGGTCGATGTCGTCTTTCGCGGTGCCATCTTGTAGAAGATAAAGGAGCAGCTCGGTGCAGTTACCCATTGCCGCGTAATGGATCAGGGACCGTTTAAAAGGTCCTCGCGGGTTGTGCAGTCCTTTGTATGCGAGTGTTGACTGGGCTTCCTGGAGAAATGCCAAAACATGATCATCTAGGTCAATCTCTCGAATGCATTTCAAGCGTCGGAATTCATCCTCTATGATGGTCATAGATCGAGGAGGAATTGTCATGTTCCTTACGGGTGTTTCAGAGTATAACGATCTATACTTTTGCGAGAACCGAACGATTGGTTGCTTGCTAATAAAATAAAAATTGCACTCCAAGTCTGAGCATCGTGCTTCTCTTGATATAGCAGGCCCCAAAGGTGTACAACTTTCAAATGTGATGGTATGTGCTTTTTCACTGGCTACAATTGCGTGCGAAGAATTGTTGCATCTGATGTTTGTTGATTTCGGGGTTGGAAGGTAGATTAGATTCCATTTCAGCGTCGGATCATTTACTGAGGGTCATCGTTTGTTTATAATCCAGATGATAACTGGACAGAACATGCGCTGGTGTCGGCTGCGGTGCGCAGTATTTGGGTATGCTAATTTATGCATTCAAGCCATTTATAAGCACTTGTTCATCCCCTTTTGCGCGCGCTATGCTGGTCATATGAGGGGTTGAGGTGAGATTGTCGAATTTTCCTCACAATAATTCGGGTGATAGATCCAATTCTTCGTGCATTGCTGGTGTCCATCGAAATTTCGACCTTTATATTTCATTCAAGAATCCAACACATGTACTTGAACACATTCCCGTTATCAGATATGAAAAAGCGACCCAACATCGTTTGAGAACCACATGAGGCTTTAAAACCACGTGGCAGCAGCAGGAACGGAAAGCTCCCTCGAGCTACCAGGGCCATAATAGATACATGTACCGGAAGCAGCATAGATCTTTCCTCGATGAGAGTACAATAGAGTAGATTGATGTGGTGTCGTGGCCCGGTCTTCACTGATGCTAAGGGTCCAAAATCTGGTGCTTGTAGGATAGAGTCTGAACGTGCGCTATTGGTGGATATCCTGTACTGATGGTATTGACCTGTCAGCCTGATACGCACTACTACTTCATTACGCACATGACTCCACCAATAATACAATTCACATACACATGCTACAAGTGCTATCTACACTTTTCGAACTTGCAAGATATGAAGCGATGAAAATTGTACCGAAAGAGTTGCGAGTAATCACCAAGATCTACCAAGCGCAGGGCGCTTGCCCATTGCAACCATGTCTGTCACAACTCCAGTAAGACTGACCATGCTGAAGTTGAGAATTATGATATGAACCGAGCTGCAAATGCTGTATCCACTCATGTCCTTGACTTCGGCGTGGCTCAATGCGAACCAGCGGCAATTACTTCGCAATGCGAGTGCTATGTTGCAGAAAAGGCGGAACGGCGCATTTTTTTTGAATCATACTGGCAAATCATACTACCAACTCTATGTCACAGTTATTCTGTTTGAAAACCTTCTTCGCACACTATTGATGAACCATGTGACAGGCTGGAGCAGAAATGAGCTTTCTTCCCTTGCATCCGCATCCATAGGTGAGTCTTCCAGAATCACTGTGTCTACCTCGCTGTTTTCGTCATCCCCCGAGGGCTCGCAGATATCTTCCTGGACTGAGTCCCATTCATCATCGCTGATCGGGCTTGGTCTATGCGTCTCTACTTCAAAGTGCCCCCATTCTTCGTCAGCCGTATCATGATCCAACCGGTCGACCAATATGTGACCTTTTTCTGATCCCTGTGAATACACATACATCACCCAGTCTTGCATAGCAGAGTCATCCAAATACCCCCCACGTGCATGGACATATTCTATAACGGTGAAAAGACGTTCCGTACCAGCGCCTGTAGCTGGAATAGAGAGTAGATCTCGGGCCAATCGACTGAGAACTGGCCACTCGTGTTGACGATCTTTCCAGTACGAGCATGGCGAGATATTGACAGCCCCTGCAGTGGGTCAGTGTCGAATAGAACATGCACTGGACAGTATAGACAGACCTTCTTGGAGATATTGATCAACTTCATCTGGCTCACCTCTCGAACTATGGAACGGACCAGCTAGTGGGTGTAGAAGCCGCTCAAGCCCTAACAACTGCGGGGAACAAGATAGTCCATTTGCACAGGACAGGCTCGTGGGCATTTGGGGTGAATATTGTAGATGAAAGATTCTCAAAAGTTCGATGTAGCGCCCAGCAGAGCCCAAGCCCTGTGATGACGTGGCGTCATCAAATGCGGACACTTTGTATTGGGGCGCAACGAATGTTCCAGTGCCATACATGACCTCAAACTTTTGGAATGTGTTTTCATAGACTTCTGCAAGCTCCATCCGTAGGCGCAGGAATGCCTTTAATAAGGTCCGCTTCCACGGTGCTGACTTTCTTCTTAATATCCCAGCTGACTCGTCGATATGCTTCATCAGTGCCTTGAACACGAAAGAGACGTTGTGGACTGTCGCCTCTTTCGATGCCAATAGAGCTGTGGTAAATTCAATGAATGGTGTTATCAGCTGCACCAGGTAATCGACCTTCCGCCAGTCATTATCTGTTAATTTATGCTGTAAATTCCCACTTTCATAACAATATTGGTCAATAAATTTTCTCAAGCTGCTGGCTCGCTTCAGCATCAAAAACAACGATTTCCAGCCGTCTTCTGCATCATCTAATGGTAACAGTCGAACCAAAGAGGACTGGAGAGATAAGAATGCATTCCGCTTCTGGTTGGTCTCGTTGACGTACTTTGCAAATGACCGAATCTACAAGGCACAACAGTCAAAATGTTTCTCGTCAATGGATGGAGGGGATGTACCTTTTCCAAGACAATCATAATTTCGTCGCCGTTCGAGGGGTCAGTCCAACCATTGACGTGTGATATTGCTCGCACATTTTGAACCTTTTCTGGTAAGTTTGTAATGTTTTCAGAAAAATGCCGAAGAGAGAGCTGTATGGCTTGCACTGTGCCAGGAACGCCAAAAAAGCACTGAAGATGGCTGATACCGCCAGAAGAAACAAGTTTCTCTTGTAGTGACAGCGCCAAGTTAGCATCGACCCTATAGTCGATAATCACGCTGAATATCCGACGGAGGAGCCCTTTCTTCCTGATCAGTGCCAATATTTGATCCCCCGGGTCAGTCCCTGTCTCATTCCTGCAAAGCATCTCGAGCCCAAGCAGGGCCTCTCGGTACCTCCATTCTGTATCAAAGTAATACGCTATCATAGCCAGACAATCTTGTCCCAATGAACTTTTCCAGCAACACAAGGCGATTGACACTTTCGAGTCCCCGGGCAGATCCTGCAATTGCGACTCTTGATAGCTACTTGCCACATCGTGCATATGCTGGCGGAGTTGCTTTGACGAGGGAAGCTCCAAACCGTGGGGTCCGGCATAGACCAGGTTCAACAATTCCTTGAATGTGGGTTCTTCTGTCACTCCAAATGAAAGGTTTGCGGTTGTAATTGTCCGCAGAAGCTGATCTTTCAGCTGCGCCTGGTCGAATCTGCTCCTTGGGGGGACCGATCCCGCACGGGCCACCTGGATTGGGCCTGAGGTGACAGCAGAAACGGCCACCTTCTCCTTGCTTCTGCGACAAGACGTAGATTTCAGATGCTTGCCCATTGTGCTGGTCCCATGAGATTTGTGATGTGGGTGATGAGGGTGATTCAGCGGCGCCAGGCAAGACCGACACACGACCTTGGGTCGACCAGACCCGACCTCTGCCACCTGGTCAAAGTGCCTCCACACCTTCGAAGAACGCGACTCAGTCGACCATCTGAAATTGTATTGTCCATTTTTGGTCAGTTGTTGTCCATATTCGGTCTCCAGCCACCAGGATAAGAAGTCGTTCTCCTGGGCGGTCTCGTAGAGTACCCAGTGTCGGCGGTCAGGTGCGAATCGCGTGAGATTGGCCGAGGGGGTTCTCGGTTGGCCAGCGGAAGGCTGTAAGTCGTTAAGTAAGAACCACTTCACTGACTCCGGGTGAAGACATACCGAACACCGCGATACCGGGGTAGGTGACGAGTCTATGTCTACCCCAATCGAACACATCGCGCTAGAAGGTGTTTCACCTGCGAGAAGACCAGCCGGTTTAAATGAGAGGAAACCAAGCGAGATCGATGTGAGAATTTTATTTCAGAGTAACCGCTGGGTCCCAGGAATCAGTGTTCGCGTCAGATATTATATATGGCTGTCCTGACGAACCCATCCATTCCTGCCTTGGTGCTGAGTTCGGTGAATTTCGTCATTGTTGAGTCAACGCGGGTACACGTTGCAAAATCTCTTACTGCAACCCTGTTGATCATGGGTTCATCAGGTGAATCAACTGACCACTGGTCTTGTACCATAAGCCGGGTGAAGCACCCCTACATTTCTTTGGCCCTTGCTCGCCTGTTGAAACACTGGCTATAGTTATAAGTGCGAAGATCGAATAGACCCGTGGTTATAAAACTGGGCGTCGAACCAGATTGGACCCGCGACATGCACCATATTACCCAATATTTTGCTCGCACCCAATTTGTCTACCTGAGACGGCCTCGAAAGAAGACATTGATTTTGTCGGAGCCATGTCTTCGCACAACGAACTCAGTGACTGTGAAGCACAAGAGTCCATTTCCGAGTACTCAGATGATCTTATCTCAGAGGATGATATTTCGGAGACAAGTGAAGACCGCGCATTCGTGGTATCCGATGGAGAACAATCGGCCTATTCGAACAGATCCTCTGCGTCTTTCAATGACAGCCAGTATTCCTCCAATGACTCTTCTAATTTTGTAAGTCAATTGGGGATACCGTTTTGGGTATAGGTATATAAGCTGACATCTTCAGAATGGCCAGAAAGTCCCGCTATGCATAGTTACCAAACGTACTATCGAACAAAACGGCGGTCCCGTTGTACAATATTTAGTGATATGGCAGTCCTGGGAGCAGGAAAAACCACAGATAAGGAGGGATTTGGAGGTTTGATTTGGACTTGGTATTGCAGCTTTTCATTATTCAATTTGTCAGGAAAGTGGCTCTCTGTTGTGCGTGCTAAGCAATGTCGCTGTTTAGCAAGAAGGCCATCATTTGAGTTGTTTTCCCAGATATTTAGCCATGTTGGCATAGTAGAGAACATCTACATACATTGTTAGGCATCTGCATCTTGTCCATTGCACATTGTCCTAGTATAACCTTCTCACAAATAAAATAGTCTCTGTATTTCCATTGGATGCATCAATGTACACCTTTAATTCTGCTCTTTGTAAGCTTGTTGTCACGCGTTGCACGGAACAATTATAGCCAAAAAGAACTTGTGCTGTATCCAACGTTGAGTGACAAAACGCCTCCCACGATGCCAAAAGTCTCAAACAGTTCGATCAACATGTGCGCCTCTCTACTCTCACCAAGAAAGAAAATATTTTGCACAATGGAAGCGCTGCTCAGCGTAAGCACTGCTGAAAGGCTGCAACGGGGAAATACTTAAGTACACCTAGTCCTCCGCGAAGTGCAACTTTTATCTTAAGCATCAGAGTCTCACGCAGACGCCCTCAGATATTTTCATACATCAATCTCATTCCCAAGGCCCACTTCGTACCTGCTTTCGTACATCTACATTGTCAGAGACTGACACTTGTGGGTTGGTCAAAAGATTTTGTTACAGCAACGCGTTGATATCGCCCTTGATGCTAAAAGTACTGGAACTTCCGCTTCTGTCGCATTGGGGGCGTAAAAGTTGGTATGGCATGACTCCGATGGCCATTTGCGAAAATACTGAAGAAAGCAGGAAGCATTGTCCTCATGCTGATCACTCCTCAGAAATCCCAGTCACCAAAGTCCCTTTCATATATTCGAAGACTGAAGAGCTCGTTTGGAAGTGGGAGCAGTCAAAGCTCTGTGGCCAGAGTATTAACGTCACTCTCTCTTCCAACATAATTCCACCAGCCCATTCAGCAAACAAAGCTGATAGCCGGGGAGAATACGTATCCATAGAGAATGGCGTCATTCATGTCTTCCCTCAAGCCCAGCTCAGCAATCTGGAACCGCATGACTATCAGATTGGGATTCTGCAGACAGCGCATTCAGCCAATTTGAAGATCATTCTTCTCGGTTCAAAGAAAGAAAAACAAACAAGCCGTCTCAGGAAAGGCTTCTCTCGCTTTCAACGTCCTTTGATGCAGAGAAGCGATTTTTCTTCCAACCGCTGGTCAACCGAATTCTGGATATCTGACTCGGTCGTTGTTGATTCAAGATCCACCGAACAGGCTATATCGGTACTCAGGACTGTGCTTCAAGACAGTCGTGTAGAGGCAGCGTACGTCTGTGTCGGCCTTCCAGTTACAATCTTCGGGCCATTATTCAACACGCTGGTCTCAAAATGGAACGCGAGCGCAGCTTCTTTTGAGTACTCCAACGGGTTTATCTGGATGTATTCCACCCTGGACCCGGCAAACTTTACGATTGATGCGCTTGACCCTGCCAGTCTAACCAATGACTCACTTTCCTCCCTGCTGGAACGAATGAACGGTAAATCATGGCTTGCTAGGGCAAAGCTCATGTTCAGACTCGAAATTTCGAGCAGAGAGAAAGCGACTATTCTTGCTGAGCTATTGGAAATTTCTCATATACATGCAACCTCTTCTCACAAGCCCATCACTCACTGTTAGGACCTGCATGGAAGCTGGAGGCTGGTACTACTGCTGCTGTCATCCATTTGTGAAGTATACGCTGCCAAATGAATGATAAGAGGGAGTATTTCAAATCTTGTGATAGCTTTACTTTGTGATTGGACCGTCACACTCACAATAGAGCCAGAAATATCTTGTAATGGTCTTCACCACGCATCCTATTGGAGGAACTTCAGACCAGGAACCAAGTGCCACAATTAGATGTAGCAAGCCTTATTAATGGATCTGCAACATCAGTACGTAGAAGGAGTTATAAAACGCAAATGCTGTGATATAGGTGCGGTCTTGTCGAATCTACATTAGATCGAAACAATTCAATACAGTAAAACAGCTCGGAGACATGTTCGCTACGACACGACCGCCTTCCTCGGAAAAGATGTTTTTGCGTCTTGGACAAGTCCGATCCAGACTGCATCGATAGGCAGAACGACTAGGTCATTGAAAAATCTGGTGTGAAAGCCCCAAGGGCGAACAGTCACAACAGTATCTATGGTCGCCGTCGCTGTCCACGGTCACCTTGATCGTCTTGACAATGACAATCACTGCCCAATTTAATAGGCGGGCATGCGACATCTAAAAAAGCCTCTCTGGACGTTGACTGGGCTCAACTTTGGAAGTATGGGATAATGAACAACCGCATAATATTACAGCGATTTGATCAGTGTATACTTGTGGTTCAACGTTGATCGTAGACTGGACGAGCCTCATCTTATGCAATAGATAGCGTTTTTCATGTTGTCGGTGATGCTCATTTCAATCGTCAATCGTCAACCCGTCATCTCAGTCCGCGTTGTACAAAGAGACCTTCCCATCTTTTTCGCCAGCAGCATGATTACCGCATCAACATTGCAAGGTGCTTTCGACCACCCTTGCAGAAGCACTGGAACGCCCTGATTTGGCTTACCGATAGAACTTGAGATATAAGCCTGCTGCGATCCAGTATTGCCTCGCCTCAAAGCATGTCCCGCCCTGTTTCAAAGTTTGTCGAGTGGCTTGCCAGGGCTCCTATCCAAGATAAATTCGGTCTTTGCGGGCTCCTCACTCTTGTATGCTGGATATCTTATAGCCTTGGACTCCGATTCAGCTATTTACCACTGAGGTTACAACGCACCGTATCCTGGAGACGCTTCTTCCGGGCGCCAACACCAGACGTGCTCCAGTCGCTGGATATCCCGTCATACTCGCAAGGGGGCATACTTGCAACCTTGGTGATTGCCAACGTCATTGTAATCACCTTTCATGCTCAGAGCTGGGCGGATGTGCACAGGCGAGCCGGATGCCTGGCGGTCACACACCTTGTTCCCCTCTACTCCGGGTTGAGCTTCAGTCTTCCGGCCCACATCTACCGTGTCGAACGAGGCACGTTTCAATGGGCCCATCGGTGGCTAGGCCGCATTTGCGTGCTGCATTGCCTTCTTCATGGGTCCATCTTAATCACAATGGCTCGAAATACCATGTTTGGAGCTCCCCTCGTCATTCCACTCCTGGTACGTGAAGCGCCACAGAGAACGGCAACCTTCCCATTTCCCGTAGTAACTAGTAGTGGCTTATATGGAACAGGCCGGATGCAGTCTCATCTCAATCATGCCTTGGACGCTTGCTGGAATTCTTCGACGGTGGCCGCAACTCGGCCTCGAGGTCCATTATGTGCTAGCTTCGATCGCCACCGGCGCCCTTTTCTACCATTTGATCGACCGAGCATCATCCTACCGATGGGTTTTACTGGGTGGTATTTGCGCTGGATGTGCCTGGAGTGCCGTCACTTGCCTGCACAGCATGTGGGTCCATAGGTCGTGGCGTATCACCGCTCGAAAAGCCCTCGCGCGGTCTTCCAACCGGCTGTTATGGCTTGATATCGTGGTTCCAGTAGAGTGGGTGGCTCGACCGGGGCAGTATGTGCAGCTCTGGATGCCACGCTTGGGAGTCAGATCCTGCTTGCAGCTTCCTGCATTTCACGTGGCTTCGGTGGCTACAGTGCAAAACCCCCCAGAAGCACCAACTCGTCTGCTACACATAGTGACCCGACCTGGGCAGGGTGTGACTGGTAGGATCGCGCAAGCTGCGGATCGTGCACACTCCACAGTTCATTTTCCAGTGTGCGTGCTGGGTCCTTACGGGCACCCACCTTACCTGGGACAGTACGGGACCGTCGTGTTTGTACTTGAAGACATTGGACTCTTCCGTGCGTTGCCGTTCATACGACACCTCGTTGAAGAAAGCCGAAGCCGGAAGAATACGGTGCGACGGCTACAAGTTCTGTGGCAAGTTAAGCTGCAAAACTTCAGTAAGTGTCCCCTTCTTGTCAGATGATTTGCAATGTCATGCGCTTACCGAAATAGACCATCCCCATTGGGTAGGGAACGAAATATCGCAAATCCTCGAGCTTGACCGTATGTTTGACCGAGACGATTGTCCCGAGCATAAACATCGAGATGACCGGGGATTTGATGTGAGTGGATCCCTTTCTGCGAATTTTTAACATTAAATCGGCCTAACTCAATATAGATCCTGCAATTCACCACGCATATTCTAGGCACTCAGCCCGCGGACCAGATTCGTTACCGCAACCGAACGCGCTTGAAGTACCGTTTCCATCCCATTGACATCACAAAGGAGCTAGCACGTTTCATGGACGGTAGAGGCGGAAAAACTGCGATTTCTGGTATGACTACTTATACCCTTTGGATTATGCCAGCGCTGACTGGTCTTAGTATGCGCAAGCAACCCGTTACGCGCAGCAGTTCGCCGTGTCGTTCATCCCAGAATGACGGGTACTGTTCGGTTAATTGACCTGGACCTTGAACCCTCTGGCAACTGGTGGACTGGCGATGACCCTTTCGACCATGTAAAATCCGACAGGATGACAGCCTCGGAGCGAGCAGAATCTTGCAGTGCTGGTACAAGTTTTGAGCCCACTTGGACGCCGGCCCCCGTTCCTGTTGCACATACGGTCTCTGAACAGTCCGCGCGGCTCTCAGGAGAAACATTGGTCGATATCAGACAATCCTGGCAAGGCGATGGGTCGGCGGTTGGAGGCCAGAGTGCCAATCACAAAAAGTGGGTTCGGCAGAAAATCATGGAGGGTGTGCATGGCCTCAGGCGGTGAACAATGTCGGATCGGATAAACTGATCTTGCTGGGCCGGGAGCTCATTCGGACGTAGATCTGAGCGGACAACGCTAACCAAACAATGGCCGTGCGAATTCTGCTTTACTCATGACCACTATGACTACGTATATTTCTCAGATTCGGGGCGCGTGTCCCTTGTTCGTGCTGGAGATGTACGATATGTATACATGATTGGCTCTCCCAAAGATATATCCTGAGCCGGATGGGCCAAGAGTAGCGCCAATTCATGACAGCAACCTCCTTCTCACGGTACATTCACCTCATCTCACATTCCGATGTGGAAGACCAATGATGGCGTTGGAGGACAGGATAGAAAAAACCGAAGGAATTGCTTTATCGTGTGACAGTGACATCAAAAAAAGTAGGGATGCACGCCGGCCAAGTCGTTGACCCTCGGACCCAAATCAACTCAAATTTTACAATCCTCATCCGTTTTGATTATACCACGCACCATTTTGACGCTGACGTCGAACCGATCTATGGGCTATCGTCTACTGTTGCTAGTTCTTTCGAGGTCCTCAGCTAGCGCTTGATCGAATCGGTTCCTAAAAATCCACAGAAGGGCAATATGCGTTTGAAAAGGGAAATAGATTCATAGAACAAGATAATAAAGATGACGTACATTTGCATTGTTTTCTACTCTACGCCAGTTATTCTCCTTTTAATACAATAAAGTTGAACAGGTGAAACTTAGTGCCACGTACATCTCGAGCGCCAGAATCACTCATGGCCAGCATAGTCAAGTGGCCCCCCTTCAGGGCTTAGCTGGCCACGGAAATCCGGGTCATACATGGTTCCTGTCTTATCTAGAGTAGCCACATACCGATTGCGGCCCCCACGTTTGCCGTGTGTTTGATAGTGGGCATTGAGGCTGTCGCGTCGCGAAAATCTGCGTTGGCACCCAGGGACCCAGCAAACATGAGGTTTCGCTCCTGAATGATTTGTCAAGTGACGGCTCAAGCCTTTTTGGCGTTTGAATTGGCGCTTGCATCCCGAAATTGTGCAATTGAAATGTCGCCCTTGGGTACTGTGTTGTAAACCTCCCTGATCAAAGTTGGAGGGATCTTGTGTGGAGATTGGATTGAGAGCCTGTGGAATGACCTGGCACGCCTCTACAGCCTGCGTATTCTGGGAAATGTGATGCCCTCCAAGCTGCTCTAGCCAGGGAACATTGCTATTCTGTGAGACTGGCAAGGAGGACGTTCCGAACGCATTCGGCACAATGTCAGAGTAGCCAGGACCAGACTCCGAAATAGGTAGGTATCGAAACCAGCAGAGAACAGGCCGCCATCCGCAATGGCTGGAGCCTGGGTCCATTGAGCAACCCCCGTGTCGACAAAAAGACCATGATTAATGCTTTGGCTGGTATGTAATTGGTATGTCCAGCCCTGAGGACTAACTTCACAGGTTTGAATCCGGGGAACTCTAAGTTAGGCTGTTCAATGGGTACGTGTTCGGTCGGGTATTTTTGCTCGCTTTTGTCGCCGCAGAGCAGTGGTGTGTCGCTTGGGGAAAACATATCCGTCGCGCATGTTTTTTTTTGCGAGAAGGTTGCCATACCTTTGTACCACTTGTGATTCTCCGCTCAGACTAAGCATGAATCCGAATTCTTGTGTCAAAAGGGAGGCGAGAGAAGGAGTAGAAGGTCCCAAGGACGATGACTGATCGAGAGTCGATCAGTGTATTATGTGAGATCTAAAGTGCATCAAAGAGATGGCCTCTTGAAACAACATGGACAAGACAAACAGCAGAAAGTGTCAACAAAGCCGTAGAGCTAGATGACTGCAAAGTTATTGTTCGCCCTTAACAGTGGCTGAACTGACCTCAACAAATTCTGTCGAAAAAATATTCTGCCATCTGTGTCCGAGTGTATTTCCAACATGGCCTCTAATTTATGGTTGGCAAAACACATGAATGATGAAGAGGACTAGTTGAGGCGAGATGGTCGTTGATTAAACGTTGATAAGACACCGCCTTTGAGGCTGGCTTACTGTGGGATTTTGCTGCCGACAACTGGAAACAAGCAGTTACGAGTGCAGACTGATTGGAAATATGTAATTGTTCACCGGCTGGTCAAGCTTCTGGAATTGCCCGTTGAATGTTTGAAGCTGTCGAAGCCGCAGGACATGTTTAATGCTGCTGGAACAAGCCAATGCATTTTAGCACATCCATCAGCAAGGATACAGGCTTGCTCAACCAACAACAGCATTTAAATAAATGAGTCCGTTGATACCCGTATCTCTGTCGTAACCCCAACGAGGCCGTAACGTGTCTCCAAGCAGACTATAAGAGAGGCTTTCATCCCCTGAACAAAATTAAATCAAAACTGATTCTTCCCTGTCATAAAATGGATACTGCAAGGAACGTACAGGACCAAAACAGTGAAGGAGATCATGAGCCGAGTGGGCTTCCAATCCAGGTTGATGAAAGCCACCTAAAGGATGCTTCTGATCCCAAACCACGACAGGTAAGCCAGATGCATCCTATACAGTATTATATCTCGTGGCTGACCACCAGAAATTTCTACCCGCAGCTGGATACCAGCCAGAAAGAAACTCTGTTGATCGAGCAATTTCAACCCATCTTGGCAACGCTAGCAAACGTTGAACGCGAGGATGCGAAACTGGGCTTTCAAGCGGCTCGAACTGTGGGGCTTCATCGACGTGTATGGGCATCATGTGTGCCTAAACACCTCCGTGGCGAGGATGTTGATCAAAATCTGCAACTTTCAAAGGAGGCCAGCATCGACCCGAGCAAAGAGAGGGGGTTGTACCTCAGCTTCCTGCTGATGAGCAGCGACAACGACTGCTGTCTTTCGAGCAGGCTTGGGAATCAACTCGGGAGCGACTGGCGGTCGTGCTTAACGGTTGGAATCAATGCTCGAAAAGTAGCCTGGGCATGTTAGTGGATGCCAAAGAACTGAGTAGGGGCTGCTAGTGGGAATCATGCTACTGCACTGTATGTATTTCTTGGAGTGTGATGTAATGTCAATCTTTTGACGGTCGTGTTTATTTCGATAATGTTGTACAAAGCCCATTGCAATTACGTGACTACTGGTAGGCAATCGAAACACAAGTACTATCACACGAGTTGCATCACGATCATCTATAGTTTTCTTGGATATTATGTACAAAGAACGACGGGTCCAGAGGTGGCATCTTGGGTAATGTCGCTAGTGGAGAAAGGGTGAGAGTGACCGGAAAAAGGTAGCGATTCTGTGCGCGGCCATAGAGATAAACTAAAGACGGGAGAAGTTGCTCCAACAGTGGCTAGGGATATGATATCTAGGATCTGTCCTCGCACCCGACGTAGATTACCCATGACTGTTTCAACACGGGGCAGGAAGAATAGATGCTCACCCCATTGTCTCGCCGGTAGATTGATGCAATCTTCGCAAGACCTCAACTCCATCCAGTAGACCTCTTCAAAAGAAAGAATGCTGACATGTGAAGGAAAAGGTCCTCAGGTCGAGTGGAGACTGACAGAGGGTCTGGACCTGTCCACTTGAAGCCCGGCTGGTTATCGTTGTTGAGGTGAAAGAGATATTCGACCGGGCGGAATCCTTTGTCCCTTGTGTGATACCGAATTCAAGTCATTGTGAAAGTCTGGTCCTGGATTTTCCGTGATCCGCGCAAAGACATGGCGGTGGCGCCGGGATGCAAGAAGACTCTCGCCAGATAGCGTGGAAGGTCGAGGATCGTAGTCGTCATCTAGTCTATTGTCAGCACAAGCACGCCGTAGAATCAATTCTCGCAAACCATTTTGATCAAGTTTATTCATCTGAATCAAAAGGACTCGGGGTACTGTCGTTGCGAGGAAGTGACAGGAGCTTCTGAAATGATGAGTGCAGAGCTGCCAGAGGTTTAATATAGAAAGCTGTACGCGATTTAGCTTTAATAAGGCAGAGTCAAAAAAGCCAAAAGTCAATCATTCAGAAAAGAGAATGGGCTAATGTACGTGGATTTCGTGAATCGTTGATGGTTCATCGGGATCAACGAGACATCGCTGTCGGCCGTCTCACCGGGTATCCTCGTTGATAATCTAAAATATCATCTCACGAAAGTATCGCTTCATTATTATAGTATTATAAAGGGACACCAACTCCACGCGGCATTGATTTAACTGTTCGTGAGGCTGTCGTTGAGCTTCTTTCCTATGTTTCGTAAACAATAATGAATCATGACTGGGCGAGTAAGCCCGAGTATCGTCACAATCTCAGGATCATGTACTTTTGGACGGCACCAGCTCAATCAGAACGGATTAACTGGGGTATAAATGGATCAGCTCAAGCTTACTTAGCCTCGTTCGCTTGCTATCTGAAAGAATCCGTTAATGTCTACTGGTTATTGTAGAAATCGGTAATTGCCAAGGCTTAGCTCAGATAGGGGCTGGTAGATGCTGAAATCAGAGCGGACGCCCGTCAAATGACAGCGGACCACGGAACTCTGGATCGTAGTCGGGACTCATCTTGTCGAGGGAAGCAACATAGCGGTCGCGACCACCGGATCTCGCATGTGTCTTCGCACAATGGGCTTTGAGATTGTCGCGGCGGTGAAAAGCTACGGTGACATCCAGGTACCCAGCAGACAAACGGCTTTTCCTTTGAATGACCCTTGAATGGCGTCGAGGTGATCCCGACGCTTAAAGTCCATTGTGCAGCCAATAATTTTGCACTTGAATTTTCCTCGTGTGCGTATTAAGCTCCTGTTCTTTTGCATTCGATAGATGCCTAGGCTGTTTGATACAGACGCGGAGGTCTTGCTGTGGAAGGGGTCTTCCATACACCACGTTGGTCTCAGGGGTTTTCTGCCATTGCTCTGGTGACTGGTCAAAGGAGATAATGGTAAGAGAGGGGAATGGTACTAGCTTCATCATTTGCGTCAGGGCTTCCTGGAAGATTCCAAGAAGTCGGAACTACTTGTCGGAAGATTCGGAAATATCAGTGCAGGGCTGATAGTCTGCGTTACAGAGCAATCAGCCCCCGGCCGCCGTTCAGCCAAATCGAAATGAGATCGATGGAACTTGGTGTGGCTGACAAATTCTGGTGGCAAGCAAAGTATGGAGGTCAACCCGAAGGCAAAGCTTGCTTCCTGGCCAGGACAGAAGTCCGGAATTGCCATGGTCTCGGGCCGGGATAAGGTGGGATGATGAGTAGTTGAGGGGCAGCAGTAGACCTGGATGACTCCATGCTCGCCCGACTGCCATGTTGCAGCGAAGCAAACATTAATGTGACTAGCTCTTCAGTAAGCTATCAATCCAGGTTGGACCAGGCTGGCAGTATCTGTGAGTCCAGACAGGACAAGATTGGTCCTTGCGGTTGACAGTTCGACTGGAGCGAATCTTGTGTCATCATGCTGACCATGAAGCTCTGCGAAAGTCGGAGCCAGCAAGAGGCGGTGGAAGGGGTTTGATGTGTCCGAGACATGTTGCCAGCTGATCTGGGCATTTTCAGTATTTTGGAAGTAGCATCAAGAGAATTGGAGCAGGGCAAACTATTTGGAGTAATAAAAGCTTATAGGGCACAATCTAGGAGGAAAGGACATAATGACGCACCGGTAGTGGGCAAAGTCATTACTTAAGATGCGAGCAAGTAAGATGCAGAAAATGAGTTACCATTGTACATTGATTGCCTTCAGCGCACTACGATTTCAACAGCATCTCAAACATATATCTATCATAGCAAAAGCTGGTACTAATATCTTATTGTCAATGATCAGATTTGTACTCTTTGGTCATGATACTGCGTGGCAGTCAATGCATTTCAGGTACTTTAGTTGACTCTGGTGAATAAATCGTTGAACCTTCAAAATAGTCCACTCCTTTAGGAGCAGGAATACTTTGTGGAGCTTAGTCCGTCATTTTCTGGTATGAGTTTCGGGACCCGGAACA